GGGGTGCAGCCCCGCTGGCTGGAAGCGCAGCGTCTGCGCTCGGCCGGAGGCCACCAGGCAGTGGGAAGCAAAAAGGACCGAGGTTTCGTGGGCCTCCTCATCTGGCCGTCCTGCTCTCCTGCCCTGCCCTGGCCTCCAGTCCTTCCCATGCTTTCCCGCAGCCTCGCCGCTGCTGTGCAGCCTTCACAGCCTTCCTCCCCCTGGCCAGTTTTCTGTTGCCTCGGTTGTTTTCTTTATATGTCTTTGTATCACAGCTGCCTCGGCTTCCTCCCTCACATTTCTTTATTTCAGCTCCAGAATGAAGAGAAGGCTCCAGGGAGACCTTATTGTGGCCTTGTAATATGTGAAGGGGGCTTATAAGAAAGACTTTTTGCCAAGACTTGTAGTGACAGGACACATGACAACGGTTTTAAGCTGAAAGAGGGTAGGTTTAGATTGGACACAAGGAAGAAATTTTTTACCATGAGGACGGTGAGACACTGGAGCAGGCTGCCCAGCAATGCTGTGGATGCCCCATCCTTGGAAAAGTTCGAGGTCAGGTTGGACGGGGCTCTGAGCAACCTGATCGAGTGCAAGATGTCCCTGCCCATGGCAGGGGCGGTTGGACTACATGACCATTAAAGGTCCCCTCCAACCCAAACCATTGTGTGATTCTATGAACCCCAAATTCCAGCACTTGACATGTTCCCAAACTGCTCTATAAATGAGGAAAGGTGGCTGTTTCGACAAAAGGAAACTTGGAACATGTGGGGAAAAAATAAAAAATAAAAAATTGGATTTCCTAAATCTGCCAAAAAAGAAGCCTAGATTTTCATGAGACTTTCATGCAGTTGAGTCACATCATTTGGAAGCAGTGAGTCAACCAAGAGGACATGACACACCTATTTTTGGCTCTGGATGCAAAGGTTTGCAGAACCTGAACTGATACTTGGCTCTGTGCTCAAACACTGACATGAATATTCCTTAAAAATTTTACTACACTTGTACAACTGTTAAATAACTGGTGTTAAATGCTAGTGTTTTCTGTCACTTATTCAGAAAAACAGATGATTTCTTTATGCTTTGGTGCCCTTGAACAAACTTACCACCGCTTTTCCTTGTGACCTGATGCAGTGGGAAAACAGTTCTGTTGTCCCCACTGTGCTTGCTGAATTGTTTTCCGATTTATTCCCAGTCCCTTTTAAATGGTTCTGCCTAGTAATTGTTATGCAGACCTTATACCCAAATGTTGCTTCATTGAGATAAGTGTGGTTGACCAGGATGGCCATTGGAAGAGAGAAGTTAAGTTGTGTAAATAGGAAAATGTGTTCCGTGAGATGGAAAAACGAGAGGATCAGTGAACTACGTACCTGCAGAGTGCCCGGTGCCATCCGCTGGGGGAGGAGAAAGCCTTTGCTAAAGTCTTTCACAGGGGCTGCGAGGGAGCACAGCTGAAACTCTTGGAAAAGAGCAAGAGGTAAATGGGAAAAATGTGGTAGGGATTGTGTTCAGCCCGTTCTCTGCAAGCTGGAGATCTGGTACTTGGGATGTATGCCTGGAACATAACTGCAGGTGGGGAAGATGGATCCTGGGATCAAATTGTCAGTAAGGTAGCTGTAAGGAGCCCAGGACAGAGGAATATTTACATGCCGATGCAAAAGAAGATGCTGATCTTAGGACAGGACAACAGGCACAAAGAAAGTGGGAATGAAAAAGCAAGGGGACCAGTAGTTGTTTGGGAATGTGTTTTTTCTGTCTCTTGGGAGAAGTACTTCCATGCCTTTGGGGTGGCGTGGCTGAAGGAAATGGAACTGAAGCCAGTTGCTCACTGGGTAAAGGAAAGCTGGGAAGATGGCCAGGGACGCATTGCTAAAAGCTTTGAAACATAATACTCGCAGGGGTGAGCATCATCAGAATAACAGCAATAAAAGGCTGGAGGATGACAGCAGGATGGTTTGTTGTGAATAATTTATAGTAGTTTAATTCATACCAAAATAATTTATAATAAGGCTTTTAATCATAGTCTAAATCACTAAGTGAGCAAATTTGAATTAAGTAAGCGATGTTAATCGTATTTCGTAGGCATACATTTTAAGGGTTTTCTTCACTAAAGGAAAGATCGATTCTCATTGTTTGCTGAACCCCTTTTTTGTTAGCGAGGAGAATACACTATATATACGGACAAGTAGTTCTAGAAGTTAACAAGCATTTATTCATTTATTTAACCAACATAAATTTTCCACATCGTGATTTTGCAAGCTGTTGAATTACACTTCCTATTTATTAAATTCCTATTTATTAAATAATTCCTTTGTTTGTTCCAGACTTGACAAGCTGTTTGTGGAATTGGAATAGTTGGAAAAACTAGAATTTTCAGTTTGTCTTATAATTGCAATATGGTGAATCTATGTAAGAAATGCTTTATGTTTAAAGTTGAGATCTTTATTAAACAAAGCCTAAGAAACTGAGACTGTAATTGTAATAAATCTCACACCTAATGATTATTTGGATTGGAAGGGCAAACTAATCCTTCTGGATTTAATATTGTCTAAGTTTGTGGTTGATTTTCTTTAAGACCTTGGCAACAGGTATAACATGCTTCAATTTATTTTTAAAATAAGCCAAATTATTTTTATAGGTTACTGTAAATCTGGGCTTTACAATGGATGGCCATCTTTTCATGTTTAATTTAAATAGGTTTAACTGGGGAAAAAATTACAAAAAAAAAATTATTTCCAGTTAAAAAAACAGAACCACAAAAAAATTTATTAACAACTTGGCTGGCTGCTCTTGTATCACATCGTTCCCTTCCCAGACTCTCCAATTTCAAGTGCTCCGTGTCCTCTGATATGTTGACAAATAACATGCAGCCTTCTAGTTTCCAAACCAAACTGTCTTGTTATTAAGATAAAGTCTTACAGAAGGACTTGGTTACAGACCCTGGCTTCTTGATAGTTCCCCAAGCTTGTCCTTCCTCTCCCCCTCCTTTGAAATGCTGCACAGGTTCCTCTCTCCTTGTTTTTGGCAATTCACACTGTGTCGGTGGTGGTTTGCCGTGGTTCCCAGGGTACAGGTTTGTGGCCATCAGCTACACACAGCTGTGGCTCTCCAGGTCTCACAGGCTCTGAAGAATAATGGTCTTCAAACCGGTTTCCCTTTTCTTTTCGTGTTGATGGACAATTCCCTTCTGCCCATTGCAGTTCTCCTGGTTGCACTGGAAGGTGCCCTGATGGTTCCCTGTAGACTTCTATGCTTCGTTTCCTGTGGGACTTTGAAGTGAGGCAAGGGTTGAGGCTTTTTCAGCCCTATTTTGTCACTCTTTTGTCATGGCCCTATCTGTTCTGATGTATTAGCTGGTTACTGCTGCTACTACAGGGGGGACATTTCAGAATTGTCCCATGGCTTCGGTGTTTGGTTTGGTTTTTTTTTTTCTGCCAGACCTGGCAAGACTGAGCGCAATGTCTGCCTGCATTTGACTGAAACACAGTCTCCTAGACTGCCCAGATGGCAGCAGATTTGGAGGATATTAAATTGGCCTTCTCAACCTGTTTTGTGATGGAACTGAATTATTTCCTACCTGGGCTATAGATCCGCTCTTCTGAGATTGTAACTCTTTCATACCTCTGAAGCCATTTAAATGGCTTCCATTTAAAATGGAAAATCTCTGCTTTCGAGTATAATTAGTCCTTAATGCAAGTGTTATCTGCCGTTATATTTCTTGTTAAATTTCTGCTAAATCAAAGTTTAATGACTAGACTTATTGGGGGAAAGCTTTTTGTCTACTTATTTAAACCAAGGAAGTGCTATTGATTTACAGAGTGTGTGTGTGGAATTAATTCTTGCATGTGTTGTACCACGCAGAAAACCCAGACTGGCTGTTCCAAAGTTTCTGGTGGGTCAGGACTTGCTTGTAGAACGAAGTATCTGCCCATTGGCACTGGGAACGCTCCCTGAGGCTTTTAAACGAGAATGCCCCACGTAACCACACAATCTCCCTGCCTCACTCCTTGGTTCTTGAAAGCAGAACTTCCATCTTTCCATGTTTTCACCGTCTTCCTGCTCCTAAAGTTTATTCAAGCCTGCAAGGTTCTGATATCCTTTACATATTAATATTTCCATAGATTTTAG